AACTTTTAGGGGATGAAAGTGAGCAGAGCTCCTTCAGGAAATTTTGAAATTTATTTTGTGTGTCCTTGTTCCTCTCTTTTACTACCTACTCTGTCTCTGTGTCCCATTTCTCCTTGGGAATTTACCTATTGATAAATACATTAGAATACCATTGCTGTATTTACATATCATTAAACTATTTACTGAGCTGTTGCCATGTGCTAGACCCCTTACCAGAAACAGCAAGGCTTAGTCTATAGCAGCGGTTCTCAACCTGTGGGTCAAGACCCCTTTGGGGATCGAACGACCCTTTCACGGGAGTTGCCCAAGACATAACAGTAGCAAAATTGCAGTTATGAAGTAACAAAGAAAATAATTTTATGGTTGGGGGTCACCACAACATGAGGAACTGTATTAAAGGGTCGCGGCATCAGGAAGGTTGAGAACCACGGGGCTATATAGCTTCAAGGAGTTTACTGTCTAATGGGCAAAAAAGTCAAGTAAATACTATGTACTTGCAAGGTAGGAGGATTAATGCTCTTTTGGAACAGAGTAGAGGCCACTAACTCAGCAGTAGTGGTAGGGTTTGGAATGAGGTTATAGTCAGGAGACTTGGCAGTGAATAAGATGGCAGCACAGCCACATTTCTGACAGTGTTAACAGTGGGAAACTGCCTCTTCATTATAGAGGTCAAAGACTTCTAACATTCTCTACCCAGCACCTTCTTTGGCAGGACAGGGCCCAACAGTGTATAGCTTTTCTTTTCCTGATATTTTTCCTTCATGTGTGTGGTTCTTTATCTGCAGCTCTTCAGTCATGCCTTTCAATATGTTAAACTAGGAGATGCCCCACCTTTTTTGTGTCTTCTCTATCAGCCAGCATTCTCCCAATGTGGATGTCAGTGATATACAGAGGAGAAATGGGACCTGTTCCAGAGGAGCTTATTACAGTTTAATAGGAGAGAATAGATATTTAATAAATACTGTAAGGTGCTATGATAGAAGTGTGTAGAGGGGTAAGAAAGCCTATAGCCTATCATCATCTCTTTTGTATAAGGATCCTTCAGATAACTATTATTTGATGTCTAGAAATGAAAATTTGAGCACAAAACCAAATTTTATATTTACTGTTTGGTAGACTACTATTACTTACATAAAATTTGTTTGTAATTATTATTTATAAAGTATGTTTGAAAATGTATTTCCAGCAGTAGTACCCTTCAAATTGACAAGATTGCGAGATAGTTTTCTCGAAGTAGATTGTGAGTTTCAGAATGAGGAAAAGGCAGGAAAACACAAGAAATCCATAAATATTAAAGAAATTTAATTCCAAGTTCAGTTGACTAACCAGCAAATTCTACCAAACATTTATAGAAAGTATACCACCAATCTTATAGAAACTCTTCCAGAGAATAGAAAAAGAGAACACTCCCAGATTTCAATTTCTGAGACTAGCATAATCTTTGTAACAAAACTTGACAAAGACATTACAGAAATGTGAAATAACAGCTCATCTCAGTCAAGAACACATATGTAAAAATCCTAAACAAAATACTGGCAAACTGAATCCATCAATATATAAAAGGGGTTATTCAATAATATGTATTTTTAAAATTAGAAATGTAAAGTTGGTTTAACATCCAAAAACTAGTCAATATAATTCACACATTAACAGAAAAATAATATAATTCACTCCTAGATACAAAAAGGTTTGATAAAGTTAAACATCCATTTCTGATAAACTTTAAGCAAAGTAGAAATAAATGAGAACACCTATAATTTGCTAAAGAGATCACAAGAAAACCTATTGCAAACATACATAAATGTGAAATATTGAATGTTTGGGGTTTTTTTTGAAATAAGACAGAAATGCCTGCTCTCACTGTGTCTATTTAGCACTGTGCCAGAGGTCCTAGCAAGTGCAGTAAATCAAGACCCAAATAAAGGAAAATGTTTTGGAAAAAAAGAAATTGAATAGTCATTCTTTTCTGCCAACAGGATTGTATGCATAGAAAATTCAAAAGAATCAAGGTAAATTATTAGAATTAATAATTACATATAAAACCTAGAATAAACCTAAGAACAAAAATGTGCAAGACCTCTACAGAAAACTGAAGCATAATGGAAAAAAATTAGTTACTCAGTATAAGGATGCATCTTGCTAATAGATTGAAGATACAATATTGTAAATATATCAGCACTTCTTAGATCATCTCTAGATCCAGTGCAGCCCAATCAAAATCTCAGATGTTATCAACACATATTAGAATGGTCGGACACCAGAACAGACAACCTCAGTGGCCAGACACATTTGAAAGAACTTGCATATTTTCCTATTTGGTAAGCAGTATATTGAATGGCATATAGGTTTCCTCCACAATCTTGAGCATTCCTATGAAACTTTTCATAAGTCAAAATGGCATAAAGTGAATGCACAAAGTAAATCGAGATAAAGCACAGATACAGTTCAAAGCAATGGTAGCTTGCTGCTGAGATGCTGAGTGTAGGCTGCCCAGGAAGGAGCTTGGTGGTGCCACTCTTGCTGCTCAGGTGTGTACTGCTGTGCTCACAGAAAAACAAATGCTGAACCCTGTTTTTGCTAAATCATCTTCATATTCCTTTCAGTTAGCAAAAACAGGCAGTAATGTAGTTCTTTCATAAAAGTGAAGTGGTATAAAGCAGGCTTTCAAAAAGTGGGATTTTTATTTTACAAGTGAGGGGACTTAAATGACGGGTACCTCAGGAAGAAGTTGTTAGTAGTCATTCACAGTTTTCACATCTGTTGTGAAAACCAATTTTAAAGGGCATTCTTAGAGTCAGCATTCTCAAGAAGTTCTTTTCACAAGCAACTATTTCTACAAGTGGTGTGCCATCCTCTAGCCACCTGATCCTGGTCATCTCATTAGTTGTACTAGCCCCATTTCAAGTGCTCAGTAGCCAAATGTAGCCTGTGACCCCCTTTTGGATGGTGCAGATGTCAAACATTTCCATCATTGCAAAACATTTTATGGGACACCTCTCTAACAAGGCTCTCCATTTTTTTGGTCAAATACCAAATAAAATTATAGGTGGACTGGAGTTGAGCAACTGCTCTGGTATAATTTGGCCCACCTTAAAGCTTATCCTTGGGTGTTTACTAGTACCATAGTTTTTGGTTAAGAAAATCAATTAAAGAAGAAATTGCAGTACAAATTTCAAACTATCCAACCTTGAGGGGAGGGAGCATTGCTTACATCTAGGCAGACTTCTTGGGTTAAGCCCTAAGAGTTCAGGTAGCTAAGATGTTAACCATTTGAGAAGGTTCTCAATGAATTTGCCTCACAAAGGGGAATTCAGATAAACCAAAGGTTTAGGAACCCTGGAGGACTATAGTAGATTTTTGCTGCTGAGATTCAGCACTTGAAGAATCTAACTCTTATGATTGGACAACTTTCAAATGGTAATTTCTCTCCCCTTTCCCAGTATTTCCCCCCATTTTCACCTCTCATCACATACTCTATATCCAAGTACACAGGAAACTCTGTTTGTGTAGCTGAGATTCTGGTTGAAGATCTGTAATGCCAGGTCAATCCATAGCAGTAGAGGAGTTGTGAGGAATTCAGATGTTAGAAATGGATTGCATTGAATACATCTAAAGATGTGGATGGGAATTATGACTCTTTACCATGAAGTGGAAAATAAAAACATAAAAAATTGGATGTAATTATCTACAAATTGGCTGCTTTATTAGACTGGTAGAGAGGGCTTTGAGGGAAGAATCAACTATGTAACTAAGCTATATAATGGTGTTTAGGGCTGGGGGAAGGGTTGTGTTCATAAGGGGCTATTCTTTGTCCAGGAATTGTAAAAGCCTATGATGTTATTGCTGGAACTTTGATTCAACAGTTGCTAAGCACCTGCTGTTGTGTTTCAGGCTGTAGGTTTGGACCTTGGGGTTATAGAGTCCAAACGGTTCCAGTGCTGAGCCTGATATGGGAGACAAGATATATACAACTAATTACCATATTCATACATAGAGGTTCAGATGGTCCTGGAACATCATTTTAGTCTGATTCCCTAATCTACCAGAAGCAGGCTGAGGCTTCTACCAGGAAGGAGACTGATTTAAATAACCCATTGTTTATTTGATACCTGAAAATAAATGGGTTGCCTGAAAAACCCATTGTTTTTTTGTTACCTCCCGCCAATGGACCACTGTAAAATAATCATCACTGCCCTTGAAGACATCTAATCCCTGTCTGTTTAAAGCCCACTTCGTCCATAATGTCCTTGACTGCTCTCCTTTCCTCGGATACCACTTAACTATCTTTTCCCTGTGTTCATTGTGCTTTTTATGGAAGGCCTTACTTCCTCTTTTAGATCTTGAACTTGATCAGGTCACCAAGCTGGCTTAGGTCCTCATACTTATCTCATTTCCCATCAGCAAGGTCTGAATAATTGTCGCTTTTTAAGCCTTACAGTCGGACACGTTGGGTTGGAACCTGCTTGCTCCATTGTGAGACACTTTGCCTCTACATCAATAAAAGTTCCTCAGGCCACATAAATACGTATTGTGAATTTAAGTGAGGTCAGGTATTTATTGACTGCTGAGTTTTGGAGGTGGGAGGCACCCACCAGCAGCAACAATTTAGGGAGGGAGTGTAGGAATTGGGAGACCCTGTCCTGCATCCGAACGGTGGAGGCGGGGAGGGAGGCGGGCCAGGGCGGAGCTGCGTAGGGGCGCGGTGCCACGGACTCTGTTGCCGGAACTAGTCCGAGTGGCGCGCCAGGATGCGCACAGCTCCGCCCCGCCCCCTGCCCCTCGGGGTGGAAACAAAGGGGGCTCTGCACTGAACCAAGGGGAAAAGAGGCGGAGCGTCTGTCGGTCTCGCGCCCAGGGCCCGCTAGGTTTGTTCCGAGGGGAATGGGAGGGCCGCGTGCTCACTCATCAAGCGGCCTAGCAGCGAGGGGCGTCGCCTGCGCGCGCAGCGAAGAGTTAGTGCGCCGGCGCGCGTGCAGCCCGGTCCTTAAGCCCTGCGGAGGGGTGCAGTGGGGCGGGGCGGCGGCCCAGGCAGTTAGGGCGCGGGGGCAGAGAGCATGGAGCCCCCGAGGCATTAGCCGACTGTCAGCTCTGGGCGTGCAGCCTTCGTTTCCTGGCGCGGCCGTGTGATGGTACTAGGAGGGAGGAAGGAAGCGCCGTGACAGCGCCTTGTTCGGAGCCCGGGTTCCGGGGGCGAGGAGGCCCGGGGGACGAGGGATCTGGCGAGCAGGCCGCTGGCTGGGCGAGCAGTCACAATAGGAGGTGGCAGGCCCGCAAGGAGCCACGGGGGCAACTCCGCAGGGCGGAGCCTTCCCTCGCAGGTACTAGGAGCTGCGGCCGTTGGTTCCCGCGCGCAAGGGTGGGACGGGCCCAGCCGCAGGCCGTTGGGAGGCTGCGGGCGCGCCCAGCGGCTGGGCGGAGGTGTGGTTGTCCGGTGTTCTGCGGGGGCGTCCAGCACTCTTTGTTTCCCAGGCGGCAGTGAGAATGAGTGGGCACAGAGAACGAGAGCTCTGGCCTGCTGCCCCTGGCAGATGGCCTCACTCTCTGGCTCCCTCCCTTTTTGCCAAGGCGCAGGTGAAATGATGTCACCCAGGAGAACGCGGAACCAGTCGGAAGGGTCCTCTCACACATCCTTCTGCTGCTGGGGGTTTCTGTCCAGGCTGTGTTTTGTTCTCAGGGGATAAAAGTTATTCCTTTCAGGGCTGAAGAATGAGAGAGGTTGGTTTTTCAAATTATTGAAGGCTAAAGAATAAAGTTTTTATTTTCGTTATAGGACTTGAAAAGGGACCTCACTTTTTCTTTGTGCTGCAAAAATGATGTATACTGTTATTCAGTAAAAGTTGGGTATGCTAATTCTTCCATCATAAATAGAAACATGAATACTTAGCATGTAATTAATTATTGCTAACATATGAATTGCATTTTTTTTCTTAAGGAGGCGCACTTAAATGTATGAAAATTTAAGTATATACCCTTTTAGATCCTTGATTGCAATACAGTTAACACATTTACCACAAAATTCCTTCAAATAGCAATCATCTCTGGTAACTAGGCTTAAATTTTAAGACAATTCATTCACACAGTTTTTATGAAATCAAAACAGTAAGGGTCTAGGGACTGTAAATCAAGGTAAAGTTGTTCCTGTTTTTGGAGAACACAGGCTAATAGAAATGGGACTTATATATAAGTAACAATACAAGAACAAATATAGGTATCAGATCAGTTGCAGTGAAGCTGGTATGTACCTGCAATCAAAAGATGAAATTAATAGCTGGGTTTTCAAGTGGGAATTGTATCACTTCAGTTACCGCTTTCTCCAGTTTTCGCTAGCTCATAAATTTACTGGCATAATATTTTTCACTTTTTGAAAACCTATTAAATCTTCAATCTGCTTATTATAGGAGTTCTAGTTTAAGTTGATTTCTATCATTTTCTGTAATGCTTTTTCTAAGAGAATCTGTGGCCTTTTAGAAGAGATATAGTTGAACCAGTTTTGCCACAGACTAGCCTTGTGGGCCTCAGGTCCTCCCTCTTCAGTAAAATATGAGAGTTGGATATAAATGATTTTCATTGTTTCCCCACCCTTGATATATTTTGTGATTCTGTACTTGTTGAAGTTTATGTACCCATCTGTTTTTCTAGGTAGTTAGATATAACTGAGTCTGTTAGCATCATAATGTAGAGTGTAGTTCTATTGTCTCTCTGCCAACAGCTTTGGATCAGGCTTTTAGTTACATTTTATTTGTGCTCCGTTTTTCCTTTTTTTCCCCAAGGTCGGGGTGGGAAGCATGAAAAAAATCTTTAGATAAAAAATCTCTGAAATGATACATCAGCATGGAAAGATTATTGATCAAGATTGTCTTTTATTTCTAATCTAGTCCATCTATTTCTCTCTCTGCTGCCACCAGTTTTGTTTAGGCCACCACCATTTTGTTGGAAAAAGGTAGTTCTTGATTGATCCTGTGATTGTTCTGTAGTATCTGAGTCTACTTACTGGTTTTCTGGTTGTTTCTAAATCACCTCTGTTCATTTTCACTTCTGTTCTTTGGTTAACTCACGACTTGCTTTATTTGAGGGCGTATAGATTGTAAATATATACTTGAACCCAGTAGTTTGGTTCATTAAGCAAATGTTAAATTCCTAATGTGATACTATCTGCGAGGAGATCAAGCAAATATATAGTAAATTAGCGAGAAATTTGTGTAAATAGATGGAGAGGGGACATGCATACAGTCCCCACCCACACTCATATCTTTTCATGTTCCTTTTTTTAAGGATTAAAACACTTTACCTTCCCTCCCTCTAATTTGAATATCTTACCTACCTCTCATCCCCTCTGTTAGGGGTCCCTATTGTCTTCACTTTTAGTTCCTGTTGAATTGCCTCACTAGACTGAATCTCTTTGAGGCCAAGGACTATTTCTTTTCCCCCATTGTATTCACATCTAGCACATGGTAGACATGCAATAAATATTTGAATTAATTATGATTTTTATTTAAAAAGAATAAAGAACTCAGTCACACTTGGTCTTTTCAAATACACGTACAAATAATTTTTGTATTGATTTGGACTGGCCATAGTATGGATGTTTTCCAATCTGTATCATTCTTAGAGCTACAACTTGAAAAGATACTTTAGAGCAATCTACTAAGAGGTTACCAGCCTAAGTAAAATGATTTTAGGCACAGTTTCTTGAGGGGATGATAATCTTTGTCAGGTAAATCTGGATTGTGAAGGGAAGGAAAGAGACAGTTTATTAAAACAATGTGTAACTCTTATTTTTCCTATCTTTGTGTCCACCTTCTCAATACATATAATGTCCCTGCCTTCTCCCCTTCTTCCCATTAATTTATGGGACTTTCCGGTGAGGAAAAGGGTAGAGTAGAGCCTTTTGGCTACTTTCACCAATCCTGGCTCTACTCTGCTTCCAGAAAAACATGGGTACTTAACACAAGAATGGGAATAGTAGTTCATTTTTTTAAATGATTGTCTCAGCCCTGGCCAGTTTGGCTCAGCTGTTAGAGTGTCGGCCCAGGGACTAGAGAGTCCCAGGTTTGGTTTCCACTAAGGGCAGTACCTCGGTTGCAGTTTGTCCTGGCCCCTGTTGGGGTCCTGTGGGTGGCAACCACTCGAAGTGTCTCTCTCACATCCATGTTTCTCTCTGTCTCTCTTCCTCTCTCTCACCCGCTTTATCTGAAGATAGATGCAAAAATGTCCTTGGGTGAGGATTTAAAAAAAAAAAAAATGATTGTCTCAGCCCTGGCCTGTGTGGCTCATTGGATAGACCATTGGTCCAAGTACTGAAGGGTCTCTGGTTTGCTATCCAACCCTGGTTTGGGCAACTGCAGAAGGCAACCAATTGATGTATCTCCCTCACATTGATGTTTCTGTCTGTCTCCCTCTGTCTCAGTTTCTTTTTCTCTCTGCCCTTCTCTCCCTTCCATGCCTTCTAAAAAAAGGAAAAAATATCCTCAAGTGAGGATTAACAACAACGAAAAAAGATTGCCCCGGTGCTGGACAATAATGATCCCATACATACTCCATAGGTGGTACCAGTCCTTGAATGATTTAATGACTGCATAAATAGTCCACCAAGCACAGATACCATAATCTTACTTAACAAATAATTTACTTGTTAGTCATTTAGGTTACTTCTATTTTTTTTTTTTTTTTTATCCTCACCCGAGGACATTTTTTTCCATTTTTTGCACAGAGTGGGAGGGAGAGAGAGGAAGAGAGAGAGAGAGAGAAACATCGATGTGAAAGGGACACATCGAGTGGCTGCCACCCGCACGACCAACCAGGGCCGGGGACAAACTGCAACCGAGGTACATGCCCTTAGCGGGAACCAAACCCGGGTCTCTCCGGACCGCAGGCCGATGCTCTAACCGCTGAGCCAAACCGGCCAGGGCTAGGTTACTTCTAGTTCCCTTTTAAATTGTTGCTATTAATGTGCTGTGATGAACATTTTACATATATTTTCCATATTTTGGAGAATAACCTGAGAATTTATCAGAGGAAATATTACTGATTCAAACTTTTGATTTATTAATAAAAATCTGCCTGATTATTTTTCAGGTGATTAATATTTGCCCCCCTGGAAGCAGTGAGACTTTTTTGGAATTTTAGATAATTTGGATTTGACTTCTTCATTTTTAGATACCCAGACTTAGAACTACAGGACAGGAGGAAGGGACTTGGAGTCAGCATTAAGCACTTGAGTCATCTTTTGTTTTTCTCTCCTATTAGGCTATGATTTGAATGCTGCTGACCAGTTGATATTATAGCAAGTAACAGTGAACAATGTTTTTTTTTTTTCTTTTTCTGGAGAGTAATGTAGCTATTTTGGAGAAGGCTGTTTGGGCCTTTGAGCAATTTATTGTGTAGAAAACACATTACTTAATACACCTGCACATCCTGTGCCTCCCTTTATCAGAAAAATGTAAATGAAAGAAGAAGGAAGCTGTAGTCAGAAGCTATTTTGGAGGAAGCAAGTTCTGGCACAATATCTCGACCTAAGTCGTATGTTATTTTTAGCACAATAACTGATAATAATTACTACACTCTCCAAGACAAAGGTTAAATTCTTGGTTATATTATGGTTACGAAGACTGGGAAGACTGGGAAAGCCACATTAAACAAAAGATGTCTTAAAATAGTAATGTGTTGGTGCTCAAAAGATTAAATTGTTTTATATAACTTTAGTTTTGTGAAACATTGCTTCTCTCTATTATGCTGAGTGAATTAGTCATTCAATTATATGTAAATAAACATTGAAAATGAGAAATGGGTGAGTTGCAGGTTTAAGGGATGTTCTCTTGGCATGAATTTTTAAATATAATTTGCATTCTGAGAGAAGGCTAAGTTACCATGTCTTGGTAATGTTCAACATTTGCCATGTTAGAGAAAAAAAGAATTGTATCAATTTTCAGATACAATAACCTAGTATTATTTTGCTGAGGGAGAATTGGGACCAATAGTGGAAATTTATGTCAGAAACAATTTAGAAGGAAACAAATACATTTTAAAATACTTCATATAGCTTTACATAGGCCTTGCAGAATAATTGTTTGTTCTTAATCCAACTACGTTATAAAGAAGAATGTTACTTTTAAAATTCTTAAACTACAAGGTAGTTTAGTGGACTCAGTATGAACTTTAGAGGTGATAGGCTTGGCTTTATTTTTTATTTTTTTTCTTTATTGATTTTTAGAGAGAAGGGAAGGGAGAGGAGAGAGAAAAACATCGATGAGAAAGAACAGTGATTGGCCACCTCCTGCATGCCCCTCACTGGGGATTTGGCCCACAACCTGGGCACGTGCCCTGACCGGGAATTGAACCAGCAACCTCTGGGCGCATGGTTGACGCTCAACTACTGAGCCATACTGGCGGGGCAGGCTTGGCTTTAAATTATGACTGTTGATATTTATGAGATGTGTGTCTATAAGCAAGCCACTTAACCTTGACTTGCAGTGTGTAAAGATCAGAGATCCTAGTTCATTTTCTGGTATAAGATTAGCTATTACAAGATTGAGATTTTAGCCCTGGCCAGTTTGGCTCAGCGGTTAGGGTGTCGGCCTGCGGACCAGAGAGTCCCAAGTTCGGTTTCCGCTAAGGGCATGTACCTCCGTTGCAGTTTGTTCCCGGCCCTGGTTGGGGTATGGGTGGCGACCACTCGATAAGTCTCTCTCACATGGATGTTTCTCTCTCTCTCTTCTTCCCTCTCTCCTTCCCGTTCTATCTGAAGATAAATGCAAAAGTGTCCTTGGGTGAGGATAAAAAAAAAAAAGATTGAGATTTTAAAAACTGTATTGCTTAAAGATGTCTTAATTTATATTTTCTTAATCAAATTAATATAGCTAAAATTCTGGAGAAGAAACTTTGAGTGTGATATAACAATTGTATATATATATATATATATATATATATAGTGTTAATTTTCTATTGTGTAATAAAGTACCACATATTTAGTAGTTTAAAACATGAATCTGTTATCTCAGCATTTCCATGGATCAGGAGTTCTGGTATGGGTTAGCTGTGGGCTAAGGTCTTACCTAATGGGAGCTGTGATTTCATCAGATACTTGATGTCCTTTTCCCTGCTCACTGGTTGTTGGTATAATATGGTTCTTGTGATTTTTCTTACTAGCTGTCTGGTGACCGCTCTCAGCTCCTAGAGAGTGCCATTAGGTCTCTCCCACATGACCCCTTTAATGTGCCTTCTCACAACATAGCAGCTTAGTCTACTGGTTTGACTACAGAATCTCTTCAGGAAAGACTGTTCCTCTTTTGAGGGCTTTCTTTGATTAAGTCAGACCTACCCAGTATAATCTCCTCTTCGTGATTGATTAACTTAAAACCAACTGACCAGAATCCCCCCCCCCCCAACCCTGACTGGAATTTTAATTACATCTGACAATCCCTTCACCTCTGTGAAAGAGTTTGTATAATTTAGGTCATGTAATTTAACCTAGTCATGGGAATAAAATTCACTGTATTGACAGTCCTTCCCATATACCAGGAAAAGATGGTTTATACAGATGTATACAGAGGTGGTGGGAATCTTGGATGCCATCTTAGAATTCTAACTGCCCCCTACCCACACACATACACAATGATTGTGTATGATTTTATCTTATCCAGTGGGGGCATCTGGTATTGATCAAACTCATCTGTCAGTTTTGTCCCAGATCTGTATTAACTACAGGAATTGAGTATAGCCTTTCTCCATTGTATTCATTTATCCTCCCTTTTTATAGACAAATGGAGCTTCCGACCAAAGGAAATTGTGGGTAGAGAGGAATATGTTTCAAAATTACCAACTGTAACCATAGCGACCCAGGTTTGCCAGTTTAAGTTTTCAAAGGAACAAAGAATTGAGAGGAAACCTGATCGTCAGATTCTGTTTTCCAAGCCAGCTACTTGTACGAGCAGTTTGTTGTAAGAGTGCTATTCATGCAGACTGCTTCAGGTATGATAGTTGAAGGCAGATGGCCTTATTAAAAAGCTCTTCAAAGGTACTTACTGTGCAAATTATAAGTTTAAGAAAATTGCAGAAATAATATGAAGCTGATATAAAGGAATAGACCCTTTTGAGAGAGGAGAGAATTGCTGAAGTGGTGAAAAGCACTCCTTAGATTGAATGAGGAATAAGGAATTCGAAATATACTTTTTCCTATGAAAGTTTTTCTTACTCTTACCCTCAAATAAACCCAAGGCTCCTACCTCTATTCTAATTTTTCCCCCTGTATTATGACATTTAAAACATTATCCTATAGTTGCTACTTGCTTTTTTTTTTCAACTAGAATAAGCTTTTTGAGGGTGGGATTCATGCTTTATCTTCCTTCCTAACATAACTTTTTGCTTCTAGGAGGCAGTCTGTAAGTATTCCTTGATTCAGCAATTCGTACTTCATCATAGTGGTAAAGGATATTAGCACATTCATGTTTGTAGTGCAGAGATAAGCTTTAAATTTATGTTCAAAACACTGTGTAGCAGTACTAATGAATTCTAAAGTTAACTACCCTCAAGTGTTTTGCTTTTACTCCTAGGAAGATCTTTGGAAGTAGTTTTACTTTTACCAGCAGGCATGGTTATCTGTTTACCAGGCTCATAGCAAATCAGAAACAAAAATTTATAGAGGAACTAAGAAAGTTTATTATAGCAGGATGATTGATATATTGCATGCCACTGTTTCTGTTTCTGCCTTGCTCTATGGCTGCTTCCTTACTGACTAGCCATACTGAACATTTTGCAGTTTCCTGACTAGACTGCTGTCTCTTGCCAGGTATCCCTCCATAGACCCAGTACCTACAGTTATCACAGAAAGATGTTACTCTTTATATTATACAGTGATTTGCTTTTATTTTTTTATTTTTATAGCATATACTTCTTAAAGGGAGGAAACCATGCCTATCTTCTTGGTTTATTGCCTGTCTCAGAATAGACACATGTAAGGGAATGAATGAGGAAATGAAGCTCTAAAAATAAGGCAGCCTTAAAGCACAGAAGGGTCTCAGGTTTGATTCCTGGTCAAGGGCATATACCTGGGTTTCAGGTTCGATCTTCGGCCCCAACTGATGTGTCTCTTTCTCTCCCTCTCCTGCCCTCCCTCCCTCCTTTCTACTCTCTAAAAATTAAAGATCTTCTCTGATGAGGGTTAACGGAAAAAAAGAAAAAAAAAAAGCACATAGTCTTCAGTGTAGGGACAGGCAGGTCCACAAACCCTCACCTCTTGAGGGGACAGTTCATGCCACAGCACCGTGGAATAGGTGATACTTATGATGTCCATGATTTAAAATGTTATGGATTAAGTATATTTACATATGAGTTTAAGGGGATTAACCTGTAATCAACTAACTCATGAATTTAAAATATGGGGCTTATGATCTGGTCTTTTATTCCTTAGGAAAGTTGCTAGTTTTGTGTTGAATAGAGGTGAGATTACCGTGGTCTTATTTTTTTATACCTGTGATCTCTTTAGAAGTTTTGCCACAAATGTTCTGTAAGTATTCGTTGTCTTTTGCACCATCATTTGGAAGGTTAATTAAAAAATAAAATGTGAAAATATATTAATCTTAGTTCAGGTGGACACTTTTCTTTCAGTGTGCAAGATATATAATTCTTACGTCAGGTTTTCCTAGCATGAAGTCTTGTCTGTATCCTTTAGGATTTCGAAATTAATACCAACAGAAAAGATATCAATAGAAATTATATGGGAAAAGTAGGAAGGGGAGTCTGTGTTCTTGAGCAGTGCTGTTTTTGCTTTGAAAGTTTTGTAAGAGAGATCTATTGCCAGAGGCAACCTTTGTCATCCTTAACATTTGTTTTGATGTTTAAGATTAATTTTTAATTTCCTTCCAGTCTCTGCTAAATCAAATACCTAGGAAATCCAGACTATTCTTCATAGGCATGATTCTCCACATTGGTGCAGCTAGCCATGAACTATCCTTTTCTTCTCCCTCTTTTTCCCAGATATCTCCCGGGGCCAATACAGCACCTCTACCTGGCCATCCTAACAAGGTGATTTGTGAAAGGGTGAGACTTCAGAGCCTGTTCCCTCTCCTCCCAAGTGATCAGAACACTACCGTTCAAGAGGATGCTCACTTCAAAGCTTTCTTCCAGGTTCTTATATATTTACCCTTTCCCTACATAGGGCTGAAAATCGCAGAAAACATTCTAAGTTGTTTCTAGGAAGGCTTGAAACAAAATTCTCAATATCTTCCCTCTTCTTATATTCTGTTGTATGTGGGAATAAGTATTCTTCTTAGAGGACTTCTTTAATATAAATTTTTCAGCCTGCTTTTCTGAAGAATGTTTGTCTTCTCTTGAGCTGCTGTTTACTTTTTGACCATTTAATATTCTTGTATTTTTTATCTTTTTGTCTTAATCATTTGTCCTAATAGGCCAAGTTCTATAGGAAAATAGAAAATACTACAGAATATGTGAAATTGTGTTGGAAAGGAAAATGGAAGCATGTAAGATATTTTTTAAAGCTGTCACTATTTATTTGTTTATGCTCAGAGTTATATAGTAATGCATATTTCAGAGAGAAAACATGATTACTTGCCTTCAGTGACTTTTGATACCTCTGGGTAAAATGTGACTTAAAATTTTGTTACGTATTAAGTGAAAATGAGATGTGAATGGATTGAAATCATTATTATGTTATTAACAAGATTACTAGAATATGCTCATATAAATCATTAACTACTATACTTTTAATTCATTAATCCATAGGTATCACAAAGGAAATTCAGTTGCAGAATTGCTTCTTGGGTGGTAGGGTTTTGCCCATGTTATATACTTGTACATGTGTATGTAAATCTGAGGTAGTGAGTTGCTAATCAAGGCTAGAACTTTTAGACAGAGCCAGCTCAATTTCTGTTTGTGTGGGAATGACAGGTTGCAGTTTGGGACTGGTTTTGAAAGAGGAATGCTTGTGACACATTAAATTGGAGATGTCGAATTTCTGAGGCTAGCTGTGTAGGTGATTCAGGATTCTTCTATCTGATATTTCTTATTGGAATTTGTGCCAGGTTCTCTGCTTTGCATGTATTATCTCATTTTGTTTTTAACCCTCATAATAAACTAATCATGGGTGGTTTTCCAGAAGAAGAATTGGAAAAGAACACCAAGATGCCCAGTTACATATCTAGTTATTGGCAGAGCAGAGATTCAAATCCAGTTTTTAACTATTATCTACTATATTTTCCCACTTACTGCCCTTTAGATATCAATAAGTATTTTTTTAAACACAGTGTAGTACATGTTAAGAGATGTAGTTGTCTGTATTGAATTAAATGGCATATTGAATGCCATTTTTGATATAGCATTAGCCTGTAATACCTTGATGTTTAGTAGTAGACTAATAAGGAAAAATTGACTTAGTATCTTCACTACTGCCACCATAAATAGCTACTTGACGTTTTCTGTGTTCGTTATACTTTGAGTCTTCAGGCTTTAACTCAACATTAACTTTAAACTCAGAGTAACTGCCAAATACAATAGATTTAAACCCATGGTTTGAAAATAAATTAGGATTTAGAGCTGATTCTATTTGGATGTTGCAAAAAGTTGAAAGGTATTGTTATTTATAGTCCTAATTTAACTTACATCTTATTTTTCTCTAACTTTAGAACAAGTGTACAAGCCGCACACACGGAGCCTTTTCCCCCTACCCCCCACCCCCCTCATTGTACTTTGTTCCCAAAGAAGGTTGTAAATTTTCTTTGCCCATTTACTGCACTCCCACTTTTCTGCAGGAAGCAAAGTAGTAAATCCTTCTCCCATCCCCTCTGAGATACTGTCATATACCATCAACTAATTGATAACAAAATTAGTGTGATTTCTTACTTCTGATTATGTTTCTCATCCTTATGAAACTTAGTTGTCACATTAAATGAGAATCTACCAAGCCATGTCCTATCCTCAGAAAGTTATTTCCTTAATGTATTCATATTTGCTTATTCTTGGCTTTTTCCCCAGGTTTGTTCCCTCCCAACCGTTTTCTACTTTTCCTTCCCCTTTAGAATACTTCGTTTTAAACAGACTCTCCTACGTATTCCATTTTTTTCTTAAAGCACCTCTACTTCCTTATCTTAGCTGAAACTAGTATCATTACTGAGGACATCATTTTCCCTGCAGGCTTCTCTAGGGGGAAAGAAATTATTGATTTTTCCCACTCCAAGGATAGGTTTGGGTAAGTGGGATGGTGGTGACAGAGGAGAAAGAAAGTGTAGATATTCTCTTGGATCCATGTTTCCAAACTCAGTGTTTGAACAAAACCCTCATCTTTTTTTTTATCTCTTTTTGTCATTCATCTTCACTGTTTTATCAGTTTTGTCACTGTCCTTGTTTATTAAAGACTTTTGCACTTAGGTTCTTTTTTACTTGTTTGCTTTATATTGTATTACTCCTAGTCAATACCTTTCCAATTTTGCACGCGCTTTGATTTTTTAAATTATGAAATATTTTACATATGCAAGCTCTAGAGTATAAGGCAGACATATGTCTAATTAAAAAAACAAACAGACACCCTCAAGTCTCCATGTGACCTTCCATATCACATCCACCTGCTGTCCTTACCTATGCCTTGGATAAACCTCTGCTGAACTTTGTGTTTAGTATCCCTTTGTATTTCTATATGGCCTTAACCAGATACAGTATCCCTCAATACTATACTGTTTAGTTTCTTAATATAAATGATGTCATACTTTGTATATTTTTGTCATTTTGAGATCTATATTGATGCATGTTGGCTGTGTAGATGAATCAGTTTCCTTCTTTTAGTATTCCATTTATTATATGATTATACTGTAGTTTATCTCCCCTTTTTGATGGACATTTGGGTAGTTTCCAGTTTTTTACTATTATTACAAGTAACATTGCCACGAATATGCTTGTATGTTTCCTGATGTACATTTAGTTGGTATTTTAATATTTCTGTAAAAGTGATGGCTTTATATTTATCGTTCAGGGTTTTCTTGCAAAAGTGGTGCATTCGCATCTCTAAAAAAAATAAGCTGTATTTAAAATTAGAATCGAAGTGCCTCCTATAATTTTTTTAAATTTAAAATTGAGGTATAATTTATATACAGTAGAATTCACCCTTTTAATGTAGAGGGCTGAATTATAACAAATGCATACAGATTGTGGATCCACAGCAATCAAGATGAACAACAGTTTCATCACCCCCAAAAATTCCCTCTCGTTTTTTTTGCTGTTAACCCGTTACAGTTTTAAAAATTAGCAGTTTCTGTATTACTATCCAATTTAGTGATTGTGATTGAAGAAAGTATGCTTTCATGAAATAGATACATTGTGGAAATTTTATGTCTGGCATAATCCTTGATTTCAGATATGTGTGCAATTTATAAATTGAATAAAAATCCAGCCAAAGGAAAAAAAAGTACCAACCAAAATATCAGAAATGTTTTTATTTTAGAACTTTAGAATTATCCTTAAATTCATAAGGAAGATTATTAAAGAAATAGCTTCATGTTGGTGAAATTTTAACTGTTGTTAAATACAGTGGATGTTTTGCTGCCCTGATTTTACATGACACCTCAGTTGAATTCTTGAAAGTTCGTTCATCTGGCTTCCACCACCACATTGCATCTCCTCTCATCAATTACTCAGCATAAAATGTTGGAGTTTTTCAGGGTTCAGTATTGGGCCTCTGTTTCACTGTATAAAATATTTTGGGAAACTTTGTCCATGCTTGCAGCTTCAGTAACCTATCTATCTATATACCAAAAACTCCTAAGTTAATATTTCTAGTCTCTGAGCTTTAGCTGTTGACAGAACAACTCCACGTGGTTATCTCAGAAGAATCCCTTGATTTCAAGTTGTTCTTAATATCTTTTCTAGTTTCATGCTTCATTTTTTATTTTATTGACATATGTGTATAGCTTAAAATTATAGTTATAGATTCATGATGTATAAAATCTAGTGGTTCGGTGGAGCTACATACAGTTGAATCTTGAAAAGCATGGAGATTAGGGGTACCAACTCCAGCACAGTCAGAAATCTCCCTAGAACTATTGACTCCCCAGAAACTTAAGTTGTCCCTCAGTGTCTACTCGGAATTATTTCTAAAACCCCCTCAAATAGCAAAATCCACAGATGCTAATGTCTCCTGTATAAAATGGCTTAGATCAGTGCACACAGTCGGGTCTTTGTATCCACGGACTTCCACCCATGGCTCAAAAGCAGTACAGGTGTTTGTTCAAAAGATGCCTAGCGTAAGTGCTCTCACACATTTTAAGCCCAGGTTGTTCAAGGATCAACTGCTTTTTTATTCACAGCTGGGAATCTATGTATGTGGAGGACCTGATTAAGTTATATGCAGCCTTTCCACTGCAGTGGGTCAGCACTCTTATCCCGAGTTCAGGGGTCAGCTGTATATATATGCACATGTGTATTAATATTTTTTCCATAGCATTTAGCTTAAAAATTTCTGATTAGCTTTTTTGGAATCATGGAATTCATTCTGTGTCTCCAGGGTTGTTTTCACTTTTAATAATGATTTGGTATTAATAGAGGTATAATCCTGTACTCATTTTATCAGGTGCTAAATACTGAGTTTAAAAACTGGCTATCCCTGCTCCCATTCTTCCTTCATCCCTCTCTTCCCTCCCTTGATCCCTAAACCTGCACTAAAATTCCGTACTGTAATATCTCTCTAGTACTCAATCAGTATAGTACTTGTACCTGGTTTGAATCAACATCTTACAAATTTAGGTTGTCAACATCTAGTACTTTCAAAATTCAGCCCACTGGCACAGAATCAAGGAGAGGCAGAACTTCTCATGCTGAGAATGCAAAACAAATTTTTCTATCATGGTGAGTTTATTCTTAGGAACTTTCCCTAAGAGAGTTCCTTATCTCTTAGTTTATTGATTCTCAGAGTGTAGTCCCAGGTGTAGCAAGCATCACCTGGGATCACGTTAGAAATGCAGATTCTTGGGCCCCAGTTCAGACTTTATGAATCAAGACTGGGGAGTGAGCCCAATAATCTGGCATTTTTGACATATGCAAAAGTTCGAGAACCACTGGCTTAGGTCAGCAATTTTCAATCGTTTTCATCTCATGGCACACACAAACTAATTACTAAAAATCTG